TGTGACAAGAGAGGTGAGCCTGAACCTGTGAAGAAGAGTTGTTCCCTGCTCGTCAATAAATATTGCCATGTGCTTATTTCAGTTATCTGCTTGGACATTATTGTATTTGAACTAGTGTATCATGCACAACAATAACCTGGAATAAAAATGTGATGCCATGTACAAAAAGATTTAGATAAAAATAATAGATATTTTAAACAGAAAACCAACAGACGTTCCACCAATAACAGCTGAAATAACACAATTGATTATCAAAAGCAAATTAAATAAAAACTGTCTTTTTAAGGAGATTATTTATTTGTTAATTGACAGACTAACAGAGTCTTATAAGTTTATGCTAGGTGGATAATTACTAGCATTATCTACCATAGTAAAGTGATCATTAGGAAGATCAACAGACATGTTGCTCATAATATTTATTTACTAAAAGCTTTACTTTCCAGCTGAATTTGCTTGTTTTGTAAAAGAGGAACAGTTGCCTTCTTTTCGCAAGCTGACTGGCTGTGCACAGAAACAGGTTGGGGAGGGAGAGTGATAGTGCATTTGTTATTCTTTTGCTCAAATACATCTGGAAGAAGCTTGGGTCACTCTGGCATGAGTTGTGTTGTCAAAAGAAGGCAGACAAAGCCAAACAGGACTCTTAATACTAGTGCGTAAGTGGTGTACTACGCTATTTATTTGAAACTGAAGAACTGTAGTTCTGCATATCTGATGACAGGACTACGAGAAAGCCCTGTTCTTCCCCTGCAAGGCAGCTGAACTCGTCAACGACTACGGCAAAAGCTGGAGCCTCAAGTATCGCGCCATGAGCCAGTTCCACATGTCTGTGGCCTATAGGAAGCTGGAGCGTCTGCCCGACGCCATGGGGTGCTGCGAGGTATTGTTTCAAAGGAAACCACACCATATTAATCTCCTCACAGTCTTAAGAATCTCCCAATTTAGGTTTCCTCACCAGGATTCTGTTATATACGTTGTGCTTACTGCTGACAGGTGGGAGCTCCAGTTGCTCTGCCGTCCCCAGGCCTCAGACCACTACAGAAATATTCTCACAGAGGCGCTGGTTTAAAGAGTTAATAAAAAGGGCGGCTTGAGTCCCCGCCCTGTTCTAATTATGTACAGAGGGTGAAAAATAACTTGATGTCATTGCTTTGGAGTGTAGAAGTATAGCAACAAGAGACATTTCAGATTTATCACATTTGACCTAACAGATTACACAATTTGGGATACTTCAGATACCGGAGGATCCACATCCTAAACCTACGAACATTTACTGACATGAAAAACTGAAAATAGAAGAGGTGTATGTTGGTAACCTAAGATGGAGAGCCTTTCTAAGCATCATTTGTGTTGTGCTTTGACAGGAATCCATGAAGATTGCTCTGCAGCATGGCGACCGGCCCCTGCAGGCTCTGTGCTTACTGAACTTTGCAGACATCCACCGCTGCAGGCATGACGTTAATGTAAGACGACATTAATGCTTCTGTGTTCGTGTGAACCTATCTTACCAGTCTCGTTGATGTGGTTCACCTTTTTGTTTTGTCATGTTTTTATTCTTACTCTTATACTAGCACATTTACTTATTTGAGAAATGTGTATAAAATACGTGATGTTGTTCTTTTAAATCATTTAGAAAGCATTCCCTCGTTACGAGTCTGCACTGGGCATTATGACCGAGATTGGAAACCGTCTTGGACAAGCGCACGTCTATCTGGGTGTTGCAAAATGTTGGCTTCTGCAGAAAGAATATGACAAGGTTTGTGCAGTTAGATATATAAACACCTGTACCCTGTTTGTGAATCAGGTGAATTTGTTTAATTGGTTTCTGTAACAACTTTTGTGATAAATTTTCAGGCTCTTGAATCTTTGGAGCGAGCGCAGGAGCTTGCAGACGGAATGGGAAACAAGGTAACTGAAGCCTATTAAAAAATAAAAAATAAAAAATCAGCAAAATTTACATATAAGCTACAAAGCCTTTATCAGTGTACATGTTGATGTTTGTCTTGTACCAAAGCTGTGCAGCCTGAAGGTTCACTCCCTACGTGAGGGCATCTACCGCAACAACAAGCAGCAGGAGGAGCTGCGAGAGCAGGTGGTGAAGTTCCTGCAGTGTGTGGAGGAGCTGGAGCTCTACTGTGGCATGTGTGGGGAGTCCATCGGGGACAGGGACCAAAAGCTGCAGGCGTTACCCTGTTCCCACATTTTCCATCTCAAGTAGGTGTTTACTCTCTCCCAATTAATTCCTACAAAGGTGATGAGCATCACAAAAAAAATCAAGGAGGTGGATGCGTGTTTTAATGTGCTTACACCCCTCAAACTTTGTTGTTTTTGTTTTACAAATAAAAATCTGAGAAGTGTGCTGTAAAATATCCTTCGTGGTATGTTTCTTTGCACTTCTAGAGAGCTCAGCCAACGCTGATAAACATTCTCGGTTCTCAAATCTTTTACAACCTCAAAACTCCTCTAAGAATTGCCTACATTAATCTCTATCTGTTCTGACCAGCGTTGTGATCACTGCTATGGAAAGCATAATACCACCACCTCCTTGTTTCCCTGTGATGTTGGCCACACACAGCATTTTGTATGTAGGCCAAAGTGGTGGATTTTTGGTCTCATTTGATTCGATCACCTGCTTCCACGTGTTTGCCCTGTGCATAATTTGTGTGAAAATACAAAGGTGATTTCTTTGAAGCCATCTTAATTAAGTGCCAGATTTGTGGAGTGTATAAAGGTGAGTCATCAGTCAGAGGAATTGGTTGTCCTGCACTTTTTTTCTTTATTGCTATTAAAGTAACGGAGAATGAGAACAAATCCGAGCCTTACTTATAAGCTTTCATGTGTTAAACATTTTTAAAACTATGTATGATTATCCTTATGATTGAAAATGTTGTGCAGATTTGTATTGGTCTAGCAGTGACATAAAAATAAAGTGTCTATATTTTATGTCCCATCTCCAGGTGTCTGCAAACAAACGGGACAAAGGGCTGCCCAAAGTGTTTCAAATCCTCCATCAAGCCTGGATTTGTGTGACTGCCACCGTCAGTTTGCATGTTGGTATTGCAGACACGGCATGACGCCTTCAAGGCTCTGGACTGATGTGAAGGCAGCAGGGAGCCTTAGAATGTGCTGAATTTCAAAAAGGCACAAACGTTTGGTCCTCTGCACACGGGACGGCTACTCTAACGCAAGAGCGTCCCCGAGTCTGTGGCTCACAAACCCAGATTAGGGCCTCAGTCTCACTGAGACTTCAGTCTCAGTCCATCAGAGGAGATAGTGTATAACTAACTGTGTTAAGTTGTGAGATAAGCTGAAAAATCAGATGAACTTTACATCTGTTGCAACAGGATAAGGTTCGTCAATGTCAGAGGCTGTTGTATGTGTAAGAACCATTTGAAAACAATGAGATGAGTCTTTGATATCTAAAATCAATGCATATGTCAAAATTCACCACTGTCTTTCTATAGAAATTGTTTTCCTCACAACAGCACAGTCAATCTTGAATAATATTGTTGTTTTTTTTTCATGTACATAATGTTCTCATGTCATTTTCTGGTAAACATTTGGTTGATTTAATGTACTTTTTGTAAAACTAACTAAAATCTCTTAACCTTTGAAAAACTAGTATGTCTTTACAAACAGGTTCATGCAGCTGTATTAATATGTTGTAACATTTATTTATAGAGATTTAAAAAAAAATCAGACCTTTGATCAGTCATGTAGGCACTCAGTTTCTTGGGGAAGATGTATGGTTTCAGTTTGATACATTGTTATTATTTTTATATCACTGGTTGTATTTTACTTATAGAGACATTGAGGAGATTGGCCTTTTTTGATGGATAAAGGAAAAACGATAAACAAATCTGGTCTTTTTACATGAGCTAAATGAATAACTAAGCAACAATGAACCCATTTATTTATTTTACTTTACTGTTTATTAGAGTATTTCTTAACAGTCTTTCAGATTTAATATCAATATTCCATGTAAATGATTTACTTTTAGCTTTATTATTTTGACCTAGGAGGTAAAATATCTTTAGCTAAATAATGTGCTTTGTTTGCAGCCAGGCTACAGATATTTTAGGGACTGAAGGTAATTTGCCAGTGCAGCTATTTACACTGAGAACTTTAGCTTTAGAATATAGGGTTCCTAAGGAATCTAAAAAAAGAATCAAATTTGAATTCAGTATTTTCACTACCTGGACAAACAGGAGAAAATAACATGGAAAAATAGAAAAGTGATGCATATTTAAGTTGACTTTATTCCTGCTCCATTACTTAAATCATCCTTTGTTTCTGGGAAATTACATCTGGAATTTGTAGGAACCCTGTAATCAACTGCTGTCTTTGTTTTACAAACTGCAGCTTGACAAAGAAGAGATCACTGGATTTTTTTTTCTTTCTCACCAACGACATTACAATTATTGCACAACAAAAACGTATGTCAGAATTTCAGGAAGTTGACTTCACCTTTGAAAGCCAGCCAGTTAAACGTTTGCTTACTGGAAAAAAAAAAGATGATTCATTGTGAGTGTACCTGCTGAGGCAGTTTATTCAAGGTGATCACTTGGATCCATAAATAAAGATCACCCTGTCAGTTTCTTTAACAATATGAACTACCTCTTTTTTTGCCACCAGTCTTGGAAACAAGAGTAGCCACAACTTCTGTTTCTGTTCGGGTTTTCTAGTCATAATGAGGTACAGATTCAAAGGCATAGTTGGAATACTGATCAAACTATGTTACTGTGTCTCATATGGAAGTGTTTTATTTTTGAAAATAAAGGGCAGTTACAGTGAATGTGTGTGTGTGTGTTTTTTTGTTTAAACTCTTCGCGCACCACACAGACACCTTTACGGTGAAGCCCTAAATATGTAATTGCATGGAACCTGGAACATGCTGGGATCTTTAACTTGCTTGACTAGCTTGGCCGCATTTGCTGGAATCAGTCAGTGTAGAAACAACAACGATGTTTTCTTATCTAGTCACTCTGTAGGCGGACACCATCATGATATCAACGAGGAAATCTGTCTCTGAGGAAGAGATATCCTGTCCTCAGTGCTCCAACATTTATACTTACCCTGTTCTTTTACCATGTGGACACAACGTTTGCAAACTTTGCCTGCACAACTTCTGGGAGTGGAAAAAGTGTCAAGAATGTCCCGTGTGCGGCATTAAGTCTTCCTCTGGGATCCCTCCTGTCAACCAGGACCTGAAGTTAGTCGTGGATCAGTTTCAAAACAAAAAGGCTATGGCTCAGGAGATTTGTGCGCTTCATAAGGAGAAGCTGAAGGTTTTTTGCGACAATGATGAGGTTCCCATCTGTCTCGTCTGCCAAATATCAAGGGACCATAAAATGCACAAGTGCTGCCCAGTGGATGAAGCAGCTCAACAGAAAAAGGTATAGTATGAATAAAAACAAGTAAGAATCAAACATGGTGAGATAACAATATGATAAGAAAGACAAGTAGAGCTACTTTCTGGTTGAGGATAGAGAGATTTTTTTCTTTGTGTGTAAAGAATCAGAACGTAATGACCAGAATTGTACCAACATTGTATCTTACTTTGCTATGAAAATGAAATTTAGCAATTCAGTCAAGCATTTTGAAAGTGTTATTCATGCTCTCATTTTAGACAGAAATTTCTAACATCCTTGGTTCCTTAAGAAAGAAAGTAAGAACAATGAGTAAAACAAAACACCAATGGGAGGAGATCAAGACTTATATAAAGGTAAAAGCTTTTGAGATTTTTTTTTCTTGGATGATTTCACCATTTCCGCTGTTTTAATCCTAATGTTGAACTCTTAAGTTATCTTTTTCCTGTAGGGATGGAAAAGTCCCTCCTTAGCAAACACTAACCAGAATAACCAGCCTGCTCCAATGTTACAGACTCAAAGTAATGAAATCGAGATGGCGATAAAGGGGGAATTTCTGCAGCTTCACCAGTTCCTCAAAGATGAAGAAGACATGAGACTGAGAATGCTCAAACAGGAAGAGCAAATAAAAATACAGGTCATGTGTAACAAGATTGAAGACATACAAAAGGAGATCCAGGCTCTCAACTCCACCATCAGCAAAGTGGATATTGTCCTCAGAGCAAAGGATTTACCATTCCTACAGGTACATTCTATTGATTATGGACTTATTTCTTTGATAAAGATTAATTTCAAAACTGTAAAATTCTAAGTCAACAGTTGCATGTTCTCTTTTCAGAAAATTTGCAATTTAGACATTTAAAATAAAATTAGGTGAATTAGTGGATACAGACTCACAGGAAATGACACCGACTTCTAAAATATACACAAAAACCAACAAGGGGATAAATCAAATTGATGGTAGAATTGAACCATCTTTTAATCGAGTAAAGTCTTTTCCAGCTATGTCTCTCTGTGATCTTCACACTGCAGTTTGGTGCGAAAGAGAATATTGTAAACATTCCAAATGGAAAATACTGATCACTCAAGGAGAACAAATAAAATCTAAAACTTTCAAAGGGTCGTGATTCCCATAAATGGTTAAACGTTACCAGAACCTTCTTAGTTTTATATACCGGCTGCACCCAAATGCATAACTTACATTGGCTTGTAAAGGTATTTCTGCCCATCCAGGTTTTTCCACATTTTGCCACATTAAACTACATGTTTCGGTGGGTTTTTTTTTATTTTTTTTTAAGATTTTGAGGCATGAATGGGCTTTATTACCAGTAATTGGGGCAAGAGAAAGGAACAAAACAAGTACAAAATGTTTCGGAACAGCTCTGAAAACTGCAGAAATTTGGATGATCAACACTGGAACTTGGTGCAGATGTGAACTTGTAAAAATTGCTTAAGAGTGATATTTTCAGAAACAGCTTAAAATATTCTTACCGTGACAATTGTTGGGTTCAACACAAAGTATTTTTCTTTCAATAGCCACAGTTTTTGGGTTCTTTTTAAATCCGGTCATTAATGGGATCAGCGCTGTTTACTTCAAAGCAAAAAGAATGCAAGCATTCATTACACTTAGCTTGTTCCAGGCGTTGTTGCAGAAACTGTAACCCACATCCTGTTTTTGTTGCTGATAACAAAATTAAATTCTAGACCAAGAAAACAGAAAATCGACAATTCACAATAATTTGTTTTCAGATGGAATTTGAATTTTATGACTTTCTACTTGTATCAGCCCATGTGGAAATATTTGAAAATCTGATTTAAAAGGGGCACGATTCAGTTTTCATATTTTCTTTTTGCAAAACAAATAATACTTTCCTTACTAAAACTAACCCTACACATCCAAATATGTGTTGTACAAAATACAGCGACATCATGATGCTGACAGGAGGAAGTCAGAAATGCTGCTTGGGTAAACAAAAACTTTAAGCTCATGGCCCAGGCCAGTAAAAAAAGATGAATTTAGTTCATGGAGATTATAAAATGGTTAAAGAGTAAAGTCATATTCAGACTGAACACTTAACTAAGGACCTGTTTTACCTGTGCATTTGATCATGGTTGCCTTGTGCAGCATACCTATCAGCAGAGATCTAATTAGTGTTTGCATGATTCCTCTGGATGTTTTGGATGTTTTTCCAATGACTTCATACGGAATGCATCTTCCGTATGCAATCTTTTTACTAATAAAAATGTTTCTTAAACATGTTTTTTGTTTTTTACTTCATGTTTAGGAATACAAGCGAACAAAGCAAAGGTATGTGTAAGCTCTCATCTGCAAAAATCAGTAATAAACGTTTCTATAAACCAATATTGGTATGATTTTCACTTTTCAGCGTTAAACGCAACATCCAGGAACCTGAGACCATGAGAGAAATTTTGATTTCTTCTGCCAAGCATCTGGGAATACTCAAGTTTACAGTTTGCCAGAAGATGTTGAAAAATGTCAAATATGGTAAGTACATTTGCTATTAGGTTTATAAAACTACCGATTAACCTTTTAAAAAATGTTTTTTATATATTCATTAAACAGTCATTATGTTGTGACAATTTAACATGAGCAATGTAACATGAGAAGAGATCACATCCTCCCAGTGCTGCTATTGCATCTGAGGAAAAGCACCACTCCGATCAAAATCAGCCAATCAGAGCCAGGAGGAGGGTCTTCGCTAAATGTGCTAACGGTGGAGAAACAACAAACCATTGCAGGCCACTGTCATCGGTGGCCATGCTAACTAGCCTTAGCATTCAGATCGAGCTCTGCAGACAGTGAGAAGCTGTGTGGTAGCAGAGAGCAAAGGAAGAGCTGATTGACAGCACCAAGACCCTCCTCTTGGCTCTGATTGGCTGTTTCTAGTTAGCGCTGGCAAAAGGGAGAGGAGCTCGATTTTTTTCAGATTATCCATTTCATACTATTATCGCGTCATAACTGGTCCAACAAATATGTGAATTATTTATTTTTAATAAAAGCTACATACGGCAGCTTCAACTGAACTTCCTGCTTTGCAGCTTCAGTCGTTCTGGACCCGAACACGGCCCATTCCAATCTGAAGTTGTCCCAGGAGCTGACCAGCGTGCAGTACAGCAACAAGCTGCTTCTACCCAACAACCCCGAGCGCTGCACCAGCCGCATGTGTGTGCTGGGCGCCACTGGCTTTACGTCCGGGAAGCACAGCTGGACCGTGGAGGTGGGCCACGGCAAAGACTGGTTCGTAGGGGTAGCGCGTGAGAGCATCAAAAGGAAAAGCACCACCTTCCTGAGCCCCGAAGAAGGTTACTGGGTGATCGGCCAGTGCAGCAAAGATTCCCTCTGGGCTCAGACCTCGCCTCGCACCAGGGTGTCGGTGAAGCAGATGCCGGAGAGGCTTACCGTGCAGCTGGACTGCGACAAAGGAAGGGTGGTTTTCACCAATGCTGCCGACTCAGCCGTGATATACACATTCAAAGACAAATTCACAGAGAAAATCTTCCCATACTTCTCTGTTGGATTGTGTGAGGACTGGAGAAACTCGAGCCCACTCACAGTCTGCGCTCAGACAATGAAAGTGGTTCTAGAGAAGGCCTAGGAAGTGCCTCTAAGTGAAGTGGGATTGCATGGCGTTGGGTCTTTAAGTGACAGAAGTAAGCTAAATGTAATTCTTTTGACAGAAAATTAAAACTAAGCAACATTCTGCATCAAATGAGGGACATTGGAGTATTTTAGTTGAATATTTTAGCTGTTTTATTTAGTCAGAACAAAGTCTTCACATTCAATAAACTAAAAAAAGGACATTTTACGACATTAAGTATCTTTCTCCTTGTTTTTTGGTTTCCTTTGCGATGCCATGTCTTTCAGCTTAGAGTCCAGTTTTCTTTGTAGGTACACTTTCTTATTAGGGTCCAACGATTTGTCTTTCTTTCCACTCCAGGCATAAAGAACCCCTTCTTTGCTTATTCTCATCCGAGCGTGAGACTTTGCCTTATCTCCACAGCCATGAACCTAAAACAACAAAACAAAACAGCACTTAGAAAACAGCAATACATCAGAATATTGCAGAAAAGTTGATTATTTCAAGAATTTAACTAAAATGTGGAACTTTGGTGATTTTGATTCATAACATTCAATGATCTGTTGCCAATTTTGATAATTATGGCCTTACAACTAAAGAAAACTCAAAATCCAGTGTCTATTAGAATATTACAGTAGTATTTTCAATGCCAAAATGTTTGCCAACTTGAAATTATGTTGATGGGGTAGAGGAGGTTGTACAAGTCAAGTAAGAGGCTTATAATGTTCTCTTTAGTTCAGGAGTTTAGCAATAAAAATAAATGATTGAAGTAAATAATTTTTTTTACAATATTTTATTGTGCAGAGCTGTAGTACAAGTTTTGAGCCGTAGAGTAGTCAGAAAGCACACACAGCGCTTCTCACCTCTGGTATGTGATGACTGAGACAGAACTGCCGATTGCAGAAGATGCAAAGCTGGCCGAGTGTTAACACAGATGCTTTGCATTTCACAAAACTGCAAACACTGTCAGCTTTCACGACAGCGCTGATGAGAGCATCAAAGTCATCATCTGGAACAGCGGCGGCAGCGATGTCACAGGCCCCTGCCTTCGTTTTGTTCTTTCCTGAGGGGAAATAATCCAGAGTTATCCTGTGAGCAGATGAGTTGTAACACTTCCAGATGGTTTGAGACAAACCTTTAGACTTCTTTGTTCCCTGAGCTGCAGAGTTGCAGTTCTGCTTTTTTTGCTGGACATTTTCCTCCCTCTTCCGCTGCTCCCTTTGCATTCTCTCCAGATGTAACGTCTTCAGATCAACTAAAGGTTGGGATGGTGGCGGCTCACTCTGCAGAGCAGGAGCTGGTTCTTCCTCTTGGGATTCCTCCTGCGTCGGCTCCTCGACAGGTTCCAATGCCACGGGCCGGGAGACAGTGATGCACCTGCCGCCGCCCTCTCCTCTGCTCTCATGAATGAGGCCCAGCTCCTCAGCGATCTGGTGGACTAGCAGGCGATCGTGCGAGTTGAAGGTTGATGGGAACTGTAAATTTTTCATATTTACATCCTTCATAAAATTCTCCACTTGCAGTCTGATCTCAGCGTATCTGCTCTTGTCTTTTTGGTCTTTCTGGACTGGTGTGTGGGACTTTGTGTGATTCTGTGAACCAGAAGTGTTGTTCTTACAGCTGCTGGTCATTTTCTGGCCTTCCTTTGCTTTACCTGGAGCCTGATCTCTACTCTTCTGCTTGCTAGACGTGGAGGAAGTGTTGGTCTTTGTGTCTTTATGATCCCGGGTGTAGTTCTGCGGCACAATATCTTGCAGGTACTCGAATGCAGTTCTGACCTCACCGACCTCGGTCATGTGATCCACCAGAGATTTAAGGAAAGCGTGATTCCTAACTGTCTGCGTGTCGCACACTACCGCGATGTGACGTCTTGCGCGTGTGACGGCGACATTTATCCGTCTGTCCTCTGCAAGAAAACCCACCTCACCTAAAGAGGAAAAAAATATATATTCAAAACAACTCATGGTTATGATTTAGCAAAAATCATAAAAAATTTATATTAGGAAACAACCTTTTCTGTTGGAGCGAACTAACGACAACACAACAGCTTCTTTTTCTCTGCCCTGAAATCCGTCCACAGACTTTATTTCCATTTCTGGGTGACGTGCAGAAAGCTTCTGACGCAGAAGATCAACCTTTAGAAAAATAATTATTTGAAAACATTTAATCCCTTAATAAAAGGTTTGATCCAGGAATTAAATAAAATATTGTTAATAGTATACATTATGATACATCATATATTCATCATATTGCAAATCAAGTAATATAAAAAAGCACAACTGTTTCTAGAAAAATACAAAGATTTAACTTAGTTAATTCATACAAGGAGTTTAATGTTAATTGCCCACATTCTTATTTGTTATTAATGTAAACATACTATAGACTAAAATGTTTTAAAACCCAGATTCAGAGGAAAACTCCCAAAGGCCACCCTGTGCAGATTTATGAACAGGAACAAATTTGGTCACTCAGCCATTAACCTAGGGTCTGAATTTGATTTTCTGTTTCAGTGGCAGGATAGTCTAAATATGAGTGATCTAGAATTAACAAAACAACAAAATTAATACGTTTTTTACATGGTAATAATATTTAGTTTCTAAATATTCCTCTTATATCCATGTACGGACCTCATATCCATCCAATCCAACCATTTTAAACATGTAGATAAAATTATTGGTACCCCGCGGTGTTAATGACCAAAAATAACAAAATAATAAATTAAAACTTACTGAAAATTAACAAATAAAAATCAGACATTGTTTTTGAAATGTGGTTCACCAGAATAATTTTTAAAAAGAAACTAATGAAAGAGGTCTGGAAAAAAATAATGGTATATCATGTGCTAGAAATATATGACTTTCTTTGCTTTAATTCATTTTAGTGAAGTTTTATTTATCATTTACAAATTATTAATTTTCTCAGTTCCATCCTGTTTCAGTGACCATTTTCATCATGGTTTTTTAGTCATTAACAGAAAGGTACCAACTCTTTTGTCCTCCCATGTATTTACTTTTATCTTAAATTAGTTGGTTCTGTGCTGATCAATTAATTTTAAATGACAAATAATGTCCCTTATTTGAGTTATCAATAAATAAAAGGAAATTTGTTTCAGGTTACTTTTCCACGATATTTTCTTTGTTGTGCTCTAGTTTGTGAAGTGTATTGATGACTTATAATGTTTCCGCACAGTAAAAAAATGTTGCGTTGTTTGCCGGGTTCAGTTTCATTTTGTGAAACTAAAGATCACTGGTACCTGCAGCTCTTCTCAAACCAGAGACTTACTTGTAGATTATATGGAGCAATAACTGCAATGTCTTTGGCCTTTACTCCAGCTTCCGTCAAGGTCTTTATATGTAGTGAAACAATGTCGACCTCACCTAAAGACACAGTCAGTAAAAGTTAGACTTTACACTATAAAAATTTATTTATAAACCCATTGAGATTTTCTACAGACTTCCAGGAAAGACATTTACCTTGGTTGCCTTTGGACTGCTCGTCTGCAATCTCCATTTCGCTCAGTCCACATCCTGCGGTATCAATCAGAAGAAGTGGTGTGCTGGTCTCTTCGACGCAGGCAACACCTGGCAGATCTCTGTTGGAGAAAATATTGTATGATTAGTTTCAGAAGTCAGCCTTCGTTGCCTTGGGAATATGAGATATTTTCCAGGAGAGTGTGGAAACTTACTTTAATACATGTTTCTCCACGGAGCTGTGAGCGGTTAATCGTCCATTGTACATCTCTTTGGAGGCCCATTCCATGATAGCACTGTTCATGCGGTACTGAACTGTTAACATACGGACCACTGAGTCCCCATACATCTGAATAAGTCTCTCCATGAGACTCAGGGACAGGCCTTTAGCTGCAGCTCTGTACAGAAAAGACACAAAGACAACAGGATGGTTTGATGAGCTTGATAAATGCTTTACGTTTATTTTCACAACACATACATCTAAGTGCAATTTAACCCTGATTCATGTTTGCTATGACCCAAATAAAATCTGTACTTATTTTATTACATACCCCTTAATAGTACTTAATTACTTAAGACAGAGTCAACAAATCAATGATTTTGGTCCATTTTAACATGATACCTTCATGCAGATGCTGCAGATTTCTCTGTGAATTCAATCCCACACTAAAGTAGGTTTAGCGTGGGACTTGCTTTGTGAGAGCCAGCATTTAGGTACCCCGCAAATGTGCATTAAAATATGCATTAAAAATGTAAGCAAGACTCCAGATAGGTTTTTGATGAGGTACTAACATTATGTGATGTAAAAGTGAAATTTCCATCATAAACCCTCCTTTTACATTGATTGTGTTGAAAATGTGTACATATAAAAGTGAAGAGTGAGTGTATTTTAAAGAGAACAGATCAACTTTGCGCATCTAAAAGTCATATATAAATTCTTGACAGTTAATGAAAACAAAACACAACTTGTTTTGTTACGTTTGTGATTTGATGGTTGGTGGTAACTGCTTGTAGTCTCCAGCCAGGATGCATTTGCGCGCCCTGAGTAAAGCGATCCAGCAGCTGCTCTCCAGGGCCTGTGCACACTCATCAATCACCACCCAATCAAAATGCTCTGCCGGCAGGAACTTCAGAGGACCGTCGTCACATGCACCTGTGAACACAAGCCTCCATTATTTTCATTGCTACAGCTGAAGGACGATGACCGCTTCACTCCACTGACCGGTGTTTGTGGACAACACGACATCAGCACTCTTCAGGATCTCAGCAATGGCTGTTGTCTCCCTGCTTTTTAGCTCTTTTCTCAGCTCTCCTATTTCACGTTTAAAGTTTCCTCGCTCTCCTTTTTCACTTTTCTTTTTCATCCCCACCTGAAAAGTAAAGAAAAAAAAAAAACGGGTTTTTTAGCCTTTACAGGATTAACAAATCTCCATCCGAGCAAGAATACAACCTCCAGTGCTGACCAATGCTTTGTCGATATCTTTCCGGATGTCGGCGATGATGTTTGCGTTGTCGCTCTGAGCGAGGATGGCATCCAGTGAGTGTTTCTGGATGGATTCCAGTAGTCTGGCGGGGTGGCCCAATCTCAGGACTTTGGCTTTACAGCGAGCAAGCCTCTCCACTAAATTATCAACAGCAACATTTGAGGCAGCACAACACAGGACCTGGACATGAACAGGACCATACTTATACCAGGGATCCAGCATCTGATTACTTAAGAAGCACATTTCCTTTTTTTAAATTCTGCTAAATTATTGAAACTCTTTGCACCTTCTGGCCTTGTTTCACAGCTTGCAGGATGATTTCTACCACTGTGGTGGTTTTTCCTGTGCCTGGAGGTCCATGAACCACAGCCAGCTCTCTCTGTGAAAGAGCGAAGGCTACAGCTTCTCTCTGGGAATCGTCCAATTCGGAATTAAAGAACTCAAACTCATCTGATAAAACAAAAGAGCAAAATACACAGATTTAATCTGAATACTGTGATCTTTAAACTTGTTTGATGACCAGCTTCACTCACTTGACTGTGAGTAAGAAGAAGGTTGCGCATCTCCAAAGAGAACATGTATCAGGCAGGAAGCTGGTCCGGTTCTGTAGCCATTTAATGCATTTAAGGCCCTGCAGAAATAAACTCATTATAGACATAAGATGGACTGAAGCTGAGTTTAAACTGTATTTCAACCCCTGGATTTACTCACCGTTTCATCCGTTTGTAAGTAACATCATTGGCCAGCTTCAAGAGATTATAAAGACCATCTGAATCAAAACTGACTCCATCCTTCAGGTCATCAAAGGCCACACTGATAGAAGCTTGGCTGATCCTCGTTACTATCCCTGTGCAAATCTGTGAGGCTGCACTGCATCCAGAAGGATCATATATGCCAACAATATCGCCTAAAAAACAAAACAAAAAAAATGATGTGAACCCTAGTCTTAGGAAATATTAAAATCAAAGCAACAGTAATACTTTTAGGCTCCTTTATCACCTGGCCCAAAGCTGTTGCTCGGAAGTGAGGAGAAGCCAAGATGCTTCCTGGGCTCTAAAATGATGACGGTGCGACCGTATAGGCCGGTGGACTGACTCCCTATCTGAAGCTTCAGCAGGCAAACTCCTTTATTCTGAAGATCCTTCAAGGAAATATTCTCCTGCCATATCCTGAGGATTGAATAAGTTTTTTTACAAACACAACTATGATATGACAAAAATGTTTATTTTTTTAATCATATTTTGAACACAGAAAGTTAGGCCAAACTGAAGCTCATCAAAAACAAGATAAATGTATCAGTTTTCATCACAGGGTTACATTGATTAAAAGGTGTTTTTAATCTATGAGAGTATGCAACCTACGGCTTCACAAGCACAATTAGTACTTTGGAAAATATGGACTAAAACATAAAAAAAAAAGTAGTAACAGAAAAAAATAAGAAACTCCACTTTATAGGAGATAGTCAAAATTATCATGTAGAGTTTATTATATTGTAATCCTATGTGTAATCATGATAATTATTTAACTAGTTAAATTAAAAAAATGAGACAGAATTCTACACCCAAAATGGTTTAGCAATTTCAGTCATGTTTTATTTAAATCAAGTCTGTTTAAAAAAGCCTTAAGTAGGAATGTCATGTCTTCATCATAGAAATAAACTTAAATATTCACTTCTCCCGATCCCTCAATGAGAGTCTGAATCTATAATCAGCATCTTCATCAAAGTTCTCAAATTATGAAAGACTTTATAGTATACACAACTAAAACGTTCACTTTTACATGTAAAATGATCACCTTTTCAATCACTCAGCACATTCTCTCTAAAAAAAAAACAACAACAAAATAAACAGCAGATTCTGTAAAATCTCTGGTTGTCTTTACTTCTGACCTTTGGGAAGAAACATCTCAAAAGTTTCAGTATTTGAAAGTTCGCATTTTAGAAGGTTAATGTGTTCTTCAGCAGTATTATTATTATTTTACATTTCCAAGTCTGCTGTAAATAAACGCGTGCAGCCTACAAGCCAAATGCTGAAGGAAATTGATGTATTTTGTTTATTTCACACTTGTGTCACGGAGAAACATGAATTCATGTAATGCTTATATTGTTAACTTCCTCCTCAAAAGATTGCATGTGGCTCTTTTTGTTAATGACAAATAAAAACGTGTAAACATTTCATACTTGGTCTCCTCTATTTCAGCCTCCCGCTCCTCCTGAAGAAGCTCCAGAGTCTTGCACACAAATTTCTCCACTGCCATCGCTCAGTGCACCTATAATACATCAAAACACGACGGCACAATTTATACTGCTTTAGTCAATCTATCAACCATTATTTTAGAGAGTCGAAATGCTGGAACTCATATTTTTAGACTCTGACTTGTCATTGACGTGAACAGAAATAAATATGTTGACACGGCAACATTTGGGAAGAAGTTTTAAGAAATAACTCACAGTTCAGTTTGGAGTCTAAGATGGTTAAAACGTACTGTAGTTGTTCAAATACCCGTCAAAAGTCTTCTCTTACATTGCACAGTAAATACCCCTGCGTCCGTTTACAGCAGCTTGCTTTGACTCCTGTCATCCGGTTTTTAAGTCTACCACACTGCCACCTACCGACTGGGATGATATCTTTCTGCGATTGGTCAGAACCTTTATTTTGAAAACCACTAGACGCGGAAGTTGCCTAGCTGTGGTGACGCTACGTTTTTAAATCATATAAACGCGTTTATTGTTTTTTTTTCCTATAGAAAGGGGTGAATGTCGACCGTACCGTTTGCGGTCCCTGGCTCACGTGACGTCACACATCAGGACATGGTTTTTAATCTGCTTCATCCGAGGCAGACAGGAAGGAAGGAAGAAAGCACTTGCACTGACATACTAGAGCCAGATTATTATTAACTGACAATTAAAAAAAATGAAGTCTATGTTGATATTTCTGCTACATGTCAGCTCTTTCTGCTGGCTGGTCGGTGCCACTCTGTCAAAAACGGATTCAAAGAAGTCGCCGAAAGTTGAAGCGCAGGTAAGTAGCAGCTGCTCTCCACCTATGACTTAAGTGTAAACACTCGATGCTTTTGCTCAAAGCCTCAAACGCGTTTCCCTCCTTCATTTCGCCTTTTAGAGTTCTCCAGATGAATTGTCTGTGTTGGACAGAGGCCTTGTTGTGACCGATGTGCAGTGGAAGGACATAGTGAAGGAAGAAAAGAGATACTGTGCTCGTATCAAGAAGACATTTGAAGGACCAGTGCTGGGATACATCACGCCTGTAAGTCTCTGTCTAAACAAATGTGTATCTTAATTGGTGTGCAGAGGTTCAGTTGTTACCACAGCCAGGAAGGAATCAGAATGCTGTTTACACTTATAACATAGACAAATGGATATTATTAGCAGCTTTTAAATTCTTAATGAGAATAATAGAACTAAACCATTCTTTTCTGTAGAGCTGCTTGAAAACAAAAAGTTTGGCATGTTTTGAAACTTTAGTGAGATGAAGAAGTTTGCCTTCGGTTTGAGTTTTATGAGGACTTATGTGCTGAAATGCAATTAAATGTCAATTATTCTGACCCCAACCTGATGTCGAGATAATTACCATGTGTCTTGTGTTTACTGATAATAAATCAAACTGAATCTAGGGTGGAACATAACATTTTGTACTTGAAGCTTTCCTGAACAATCAGAAAACAATTCAGTTATGAACAATGTTTTTCTTAACTTTATGTCTTTTTGTCCTAATTTTCCCCTTCCTCTGTCAAGAGGTGAATCTGGGCTCATCACACCTCAAGACCTTCCATTGTTTGAGTCCAACATTTATGTTCCATAGCAAATTGAGGCTATTTTTTTCCAACTGGAGATGCAGATCTGTGGTTCTCTTAAGGCTTCCCTTTCTCTTAAGTTCTCTTCACATACTCTATGACAGACCAGTGGACACGTATTTGTTCATTTTTGTCTGACCAGTCCTCTCGTTTCACATTTGTTGTTATTCTACAGTGGAACTCCCATGGCTATGATATCGCCAAGCAGTTTGGCTCCAAGCTGTCATTGGTCTCTCCAGTTTGGCTTCAGCTCCGCCGACGAGCTCCTGGGACGTTTGACGTTACAGGACTCCATGATCACGACGCCGGTAGATAATTCACTTCACTGACAGCCAAATTTTAAATGTCCGCTCATTTTTATACAGTAAAATGACATGTTTTTGTCTCTCTAGGCTGGGTTAAAGCTGTACGCAAGTCAAACAAAAAAGTCAGGATGGGTGAGCAGATGGCGTCTGTTATTGGATGTCATTTGAGATCTGGAGGTTGTTTCATGGTTTTCTCAACCTATTTATATCCAGTGCCCAGAGTGTTGTTTGACGGCTGGTCCTACCAGGATTACATGAGCGTGTTTGGGAGTGAGGATGAAATTGAGGAGCTGTCAGGTGAACTAGTGGATGTTGCTAAGGTAATAAATGTATTAAGTTTATCTTTTAACTCTTGTCGTTTGGTCGATATGAGTTTGATGGGAACATTGTGGCCTTTCAGACGGAGGGTTTCGATGGATTTACCCTGGAACTTTGGAGTCAGCTGGGCGGGAACAAGAGAAAGCGAGTTACTGTTTTGAAATGGGATATTGGAAAACTCTTAACATTTTGATTTGATTAAACATTTTTTAATCTCTTTTATTAACAGGGAACTTGTTCATTTGGTGAAACATGTGTGTGAGACTTTAAGTGCTAAAAAGTTAGACTGCATACTAGTTATCCCACCAGCCGTGACGAGGTGAATCTAACTATTTTACATTCAACAACAACTTTTGTGTAAAACAAAACCTTAAACTGTTCCAAGCTAAAGAAAAAAAGTTTTTTATGTTATTATCAGTACGGGGAGCCCAGGGATGTTTGGCAGGGAGGAGTTCGATGAGTTGGCCCCTGTTGTTGATGGATTCAGCCTCATGACCTACGACTACTCTAGTGGAACCAGGTGAGTTCATAGATGAGAGGATTTTTATTTTTTGAAAGCAGGCAGAGAAAATTAAGAAATTAACCCTTTCCTTTTTATTGTTCAAACAGACCGGGTCCAAGCTCACCATTGCCCTGGATCAGAGACTGTGTTTTGCAGCTTGCACCAAACACTCAATGGAGACAAAAGATCCTGCTTGGAATGAATTTGTATGGCCTTGATTTTTCAACCCATGGGACAGAGCCAGTCCTGGGTGGGAGGTGAGGTAGAACCGTTGGTTTTTTGCTGGTTAAATTAGCTTGTTTCAGTTTTTATCGAGTCGTTCTTCAGGATTTAGTTATTGCTGCAAAATCAGAGAAATTATTTGTTCATAAACTCCTATCAGTTACTTATTTTGTATCTCAGTTACTAAAGTAGACAAAGAGAAGGGTCGCTAACCTTAAGCTTATCGTTTAGGTAATTCCACATCCCAGATTCTTGGGATGTGGAATTACCTGTTTGACCAAATATAATTAATTACATTTCAGGTCAAATTTGGCTCCTGGACCAAATTATTTTGATCCTTCCTCTCTGCAGACTAAACAAATGTTGATCAAGTTATTCTAGGATTAGTTCAAATATTTAATGTATTGCTGGACTGAATGCTAGAACTGAATCAAATGGTGCTTTAACAAAATGTTAGCTTAAGGGTGGAGCCTTTTATGCAGCAAGCTCACCATAGCTTATTTTCCTCACCCTAACAGATTTTTTTTTTGTTCAGTCAGTTGAATAATGTAAGATAAATGTTTCATTAAAGAAAGAAAAAGTTCAGACTTTTTTATGTGACAAAACCTTTACATTTTTACAGTTTTGAACATTTTTATATCTGCTGGACATTTTATTGCTGGTAGTAAGCACCCGGGTTAAATTGCATGGTTTGCTACCAGGTCGTTCTCAGGTGTAAATCCGTTCTCAGATCAAAATTTCAACTGCTAAGAGGAATCTAATGCAGCATGAAGACAAACATTCAGGAGCTCTACAGTTTCCATTTCCCGTCTGATCTCTTTAGGTACATCGAGATTTTGCGAGAACAAAGACCAAAGATGATCTGGGATGAATATTCTGCTGAGCATCACTTCAGTTACAAAAGGTACTGAATAAATGAATAAATAAATAAATAAAACACTTGAAAAAGTTTGACACTGAGAAGGATTCCTAAATAAATGTTTTTCCCTTCTCCCCAGAAGCAGTGCTGCAAAGCATGTGGTGTACTATCCTTCACTAAAGGTAAACTTTTTTTAATTATAGTGTAAATTATGTTTATACCAGTAAATAAATGCAAAATATTTGTAATTTTTTACAATTTTATTTTACTTTTTTTGCAGTCAATCCACATGAGGATTTCTTTGGCTACTGAGCTGGGAACAGGATTATCCTTATGGGAAATGGGACAAGGACTGGATTATTTCTATGATCTCCTATAAACGGTGGACTTTTTCGTAAAGAAAACAGTGTTTTTGTTGTCTGTACATAATTTTTTTTTGCCTCTTTGAACTGGAGAAAGAAATAATGCGACAAAAAATAATCAGCTGCTTTGAGGTTCATGAAAACATGGACGGCTTGTTTTGAAAAAGCACTTAAAGAAAACATTGGTACTTCAGATTTGTTTCATTTGTGTTAATTTATGATTTTGTAATTTGTACAGTTCAGAAATTGTGATGTTCAGGACTGTACCAACTACAGTTTTTCAGGAATGTTTTCACACCAATTGACTTCTCACATTTTGTTACTTATTGTAAAATACATCTGAATATTGTTTTCTTTTAAAAATAAGCGAAATAATATGCTGTGACATAGTAAAAAACATGTTTTCAAACATTAAATGTCTGGAAAGTACCTCTGCTTTTCAAGAATGAAATATGTGAGGAACCATGACCTGAATAATGAGGATGAGGGCGTGTGCAGAACAGATCTCAAATATTGCTAACACAGTCCACCAAACAGGCCTTCATGATAAACAACCAGACTGAAGCCCCTCAGTATTAAAAACAATTGAGATTTTACAGATCAGAAAACACACATTTTCTTATTTGTAACTATCATCCTTTGATCCATGTGTCTGCTGTTCACAGTGTAGCTTTTCCTGAAGAAAATGTATGGAATGATGCAGTAGTCTCTTCTGTATGCACAGTGGTGGCAGCATTATGCATTATGACATTCAACTTAATGTCTCTGGAGAGACCAAAACTGTCAGACTGGACAGATCTCCTTTCTGCAGGTTTTTACTGTAGAAAGTAAAAAGTGTAGTTTTTTTCTTAAGAGAACTCTCAAGATTAATACCAAAGGTCCTTAAACACAATATGTTCTCAAACAAGGCATGCTGGCTAAATTAATGTATTTTGTCAAAAATAAAAGACTATTTTTTCCTGTCGTTTACTGCATTTAGACAAAACACTGGACCCTAATTTGGAAAGAGTTAGTTTCTTGTTGCATCTGTGACTTTTTACTGAGAAGTTTAACAAGTAGTTGTGTAGTTGAAACAATAACTTTCAAAGATTTGTTGAAGAAAAATGCTTCCTACTAACAAATCCAGACACAGTGACCTTTTATTTGGCATTACAAAGGAGGATGAGATTATTCACTGCCAGCGACGTCGACTGCTGATTCTGTCCAGTTATGACGTGTCTGTCCACAACTACATGCACGGCGTCTTCTTGACTCGCTGGGAAACGGAGATGAGCGTTAAAGCGGTTTGAGGAACAGTAATCGTATTGGTTTAGTGTCTGTGCAGCGCAGCTGCTCACCTGTATAAGATCCTCCGCTGTCTTTCACAAAATCCTCCACAATAAGGGGAAGGTTGGCAAAGTCGGGTTGTCGCACCAATTCAAACACAGACGGCTTTGAGGAAAACATTGATTATTAGGTAGCTCGTACACATGTGATCGGCCTGAGTAAACATCCCCCCGGGTAAGAGAAGACTGACCCCTGTTAAGCTGTAACCACTGAAGATCCACTTCTGGCCCTCAGTGGCGCAGCACAGTGCTGACACGCCCTGTCCAACAGCACACACGGGCTCTGCACAAGGCGGACAAAACAAAAATACAGCGAGCACTGAGGCTGTTAACAAAGACATTAACACAAGTCTGGAACTCACTCTGCTGGGAGATGAACTGTGTGAGAATTCGGTGCATGGAGCCGCTGTGTGCCAGGTCATTCGGCGCTCCGGGGCAGTCAGGGATGAGCAGCGCCTGGTATCTAGCACCTTGGAAAAGATCGGCGGATCAAAACTGAGCAGAGCCCAACCAATGTCAGCAACAGAGATAAAAACAGCAGCTGGGTTGTGGAATTAACTCTTCTCACCATCGATAGATTCGAGTTTGGCTGGTGTTGCGTAGGACTTCACATTGAAGTCCTGCACCCATCTCGCTGTGCTTTCATCAACTCCTACAAAGTCTATTGGCTTTCCCTGTATTTACAAAAAACACACAATCATAGTAAAGTAGAACAGATGAAGTATTGACATCAAACTGGCAGCTATAAGACAACAAAAACTCTCAGTGGAAAAGATTTTGGCTTCGGTAAACATCTTACTCGAGATCTGCAAATTTAATCTTTGCCATTTCGAATCAGCAATTCAAATACTGAAAGAAAATGTCTGCATCAGAAAAAAACATTTATTTGTTATATAAACACATCAAAGAGCTTGTTCTTTGACACAATGTTTTAGTTTACTAAAAATACTAAGAAGATGGCAGACATCACTTGATGTCTGCATTAAGGTGTTATCTTGCAATCTCACAATTTGCTGCTGGACTCAAATCAATTTCCTGTATCAAAATGCCTTTAAGGAAGAAATGAACTGAAAAACTAAATTGGCTTACTGATTTCTTATTCTCACCAAATGGTCGCATTTCTTTTCTTTCTAAGCTCACAAAAAGAAAATCATTTGCAATGGATTTTTTTAAATAGAAATTGTAGATTTGGATGAACCACAACATGGCAGAAAAAATATATTTTCCCCAGTTATACATAACAGCATACCGAACCTAACCATCTTATTTTTGAGAATTGGCTGATCAACTGGGGCATCACTGCTTGAATTAAACCAAAATGAACAAAGTATGTGTTATAGTGTTAGAAAGAAAATTGCAAATGTGAATAGACCAGAAAGGTTTGATGTGATCAGAACTTCTCAAGAAACAAGAAAAGGTGAGAAACCTGTTTCGTTCACCGGATGAATAGTGCTATTTTGAACTGAAGGGATGAGATCATTTTACCATCTTAGCGGGTAGCAGGATGTCACCTTAATAACACACATAGGATATCTCAAAATAGAACATTGCATGCAAGAGAAATGCTTCTTGTCAGTATATATACTGATAAGTTTAACGAGAAAACCAAGATAAAGAAAACCCAAAATTCAGTGTCTCTGAAAAGTACAAATATCACATTAGACCGATCAAAGACGATGTTTTAAGCACAAATGTCAGACTTCTGATAAGTATGTCGATTTCTATGCAAAACATGTCCATTGCTGCCTCTCCAATCTTCCTTCAAACCCTGGAACTTTGATTTCTAAATGAAATGCAGAATTTACTTTTATCTGAATACAGTACTCTGGACCATAATGCCACAGTCCTGTTTCTTTTCTCTGATGTTGCCTATGTCTAATATTCGTCTGTGTGTCTGAAATGGATTTTGCTTCACAAATCTCTCAACGTTGAGGTTCTCCCGGTTGCGGTGCATCTTTTCCTACCTCACTTCTTCCTTCCGGCCAATTTTCTTCTAACATGCTTGGATACAGAAGAAAATCATGAACAGCTAGCTTCTTCAGCAGTGTCCATTTGTTTCTATTAATTACCTTTTTCAGAGTATTCCAGTTTTGTATTTTCATCATCTGTAAGCCATAATCATCAAAATGACAAAACAGGTTTGGGACACCACTATGAGATGATTACATAGCTTTACCTTCTGAGATAACTGGCAAGACGTATTGCGCTTTCACATATTTTCTGTACTTGTACTCAGGGCGCTGTTTGACGTTTGCCCTCGTTTTTTTAGGCATTCGCTCATTCATTCATATTGAAGCTCTTACCCCTGGTGTGGCGGTCTGCAGATTGAAAGCTGTGCTGCAAAGACTGAAGCAGTGCAGAAAGGATTTGGCGGAGACCCCTGAACGAATAAAACACACCAATTTAACACTTAAGAAAGGCAATAATGCTCCACAACAGCGCATTCGGCTACAGTTTAAATGAACCCTGGATGACATTGTTGAATTGCAACCAACAGGCTGCATAAATGACGCTCTGCTGCGGTCTGTGCAGTGAAAGCCGCAGTGGACTCACCTTGAGGAGAAGCGCTGGTCACTATTAAGCAGGTTGGTTTCGCAGACATTTTTATTATTATTTTTGCCAAAGAAGATAATAGGCGTGCAAAAAAAAACAAACAAAAAAGATCTACAGAGGAAGTCAGGTCAGCTGACACCAACATCCGTAAAAGTCATTTCAGAATAAAAGCCTTAAAAATGATGTCTGGAATAATTCAACTTTATTCGCATTGGAACTAAAACAAGCTTAGATAATGCATTAGAATTACGACAATAATTTAACTGAGGCCTCCTCTCTTAATATAATAACACTATACATTTATTAGATAGTAGCATTATGAGATACTAAAGCATAATGACGAGGTAGTATGACATCATTATCAGTCAATTAAGCCAAAATGACAAGATACAACTTATAAGAGCTGGTAAATCCATAATTATGAAATACTTATGTATATATTATTGTACTTACTTATGAAAGTAAGTACAGTGGAGGAGAGGGACTTCCAAAGCCCTTACTAAATTCCTTGTGCCACATAAAGACACCTCTTTATTATCAACAGTGTTTATCTTGTGTGTGTTTTATTTTGCGTAGAAGTATATTTACATCTCATACTTTATCGTAAAATGTAAGATAACTAGAATTTCCTCTTGTGAAATAGAGATTGGTGCTGTCCAGCAGCATTAGTATAGTCGTGGTGTTTGTCGTTTGAAACACTTTTCATCATTTCAGCTTCCAACTCTACAGCAGCATTGTGGGAAATGTTGGGTTTTACATCATTCAACTAAAAGTTACACAGTCAAGAATGTGTAACTTATTGACTGTGTCCCAACGTTAGTACAGATCTTCCTTCAGGTTTCGACAAAGGCAGCAGGTGAACATCATCCCTATAAGCTGGAAGGAAACAGAAACATAAAACTTGTTAGTTCCTCTTTCACATTTTATAGGTTGTGAATAGTCATTTGTATTTTCCTAATTTTACCTGTAGAAATGCAATCCCAACCCCCACTGCCCCAAGAATATACAACTGGCTTTTGATGTAATCCTCAAGTTTCTCAATGCATCCTCCCTGGGTGGGAATAAAACAGAATGAAATGAAGATCTAAAATGTTTGGAAACAATTACTTAAGGAAGGAATTTAGCGCCTCAAAACTTTTTCTAATGTTACAACCTCAAACTTCAATGCAATTCAATGTGAATTCATGTTATGGAGATTTTCAAAATCCTCTAGAAATAATATGACAACCTTTGCTTGCATTTGTGCTATTTACCGTCTTTACTCTGATACTCCTGAATGAAATTGTAGAAGTCACGTAGTTACTTAACAGAGTCCACCTGTGTGTAATTTAATCCCTGTATGAATGCAATTGTTCTTGGAAGGCCTCAGATGTAAGTTAGAGATCAAACAACATCATGAAGATCTTGGTAAAACACTCTAAATCAGAGTCAGGTTAAAAAGCAATAGACATTAAATATTGCATAACATCCCAATGAAATACATACTTTAAAGTTTGTAATCATAAAGAAACTTTGGTAATTTTGAAGCGTTTTGCGAGGTGCTATACCTCCTCCCTGTAGATGTTGGATGGATGATCTCTGCGACCGCAGAGGGTACTGGGAGTTTTACAGCAGCTGTCAGGAACGAGCTCTTTCGTTTCTTCTCTCCGGATCCACTCACTGTCTCTCCAGTCGGAGAAGTTGTGACTTCCACAACATTTAAACTGAGTGGGAGGATCAAAGAAAGATTTTATTTTACTAAAACTGCATTAAATCTTTTAAGGATGAGGATAGTTATTTCTGCTCCTCTCATATTTCTTTTATTTGAGCCAGTGTTTGCAGCTGTAGTAGAAACAAATGTTCTCACCTCTTGTTGTAGCTTGTCAACAGACAGTGTGATGCTCTCCTGGCCTGGTTGCAGGTATTTCTGCTGCATGTTTAACTTTAGGTTCTGTCTGAGCTCATCATCCAGCTGTGAGAGTCGAGAAATACTTGAGAGAAGGAAGAAAAAAATCCAACGCTTCGCTTTTTTCCCCTGCCTTTGTATCATTCGATTTGACATCTAGACACTCAGATATTGCTTTAACGTTAATTGTAGTTATTTGTTAATATTTTATTTCACTGTGAAAAAAGAAACACTCGTTAAACTCAGAAACAATGACATTCAAAACCATTAGGAGAGCATGTCAACTTTTTACTAGAATTATGTATGAACATCTAGGAGAAACAGACGCAAAACAAAACAGATCTCAAGAGATTACCTGGTAGCAGAAAGGGAAACACTGCAGTGACAAAGTGGGGAAAAGAAACAGGTGTGAGAAGAATAGAAAGTGAAGAAAAACCAAAAGAACATGCAGAGAAAAGCATGCAAAGAGAATCTCTACAGAGTTAAGTTTTAACAATGAATAGCTATTTTTGCATGATAACATAATTCTACATACATACATAATTTTTTTTAATCATAAATTGCAATTAAACACAATTTCACTATCCTACTAATATAAACCTATTTTAACTCTGCATCTTAACAAGGTGATTGACAAGCTGCTTAAAGATCAATTAACAAGTTTTGGAACCTGTCTCACAAAATGAAGTAGGAAAATATGCAAAATATATCAAATAACTTAGAAACAGATGTTTTCTAAGGCGTTTGGATTGCAGGGAGAAAAACTATCCAAAACAGAGAAAATGTGGAACAGTACTGAACCTTCCCAGAGTTACTCATGCTATCTTTGTTTCTATTTTTGATCTGAAAGATTTAGGACTGACAAAAAAAGAATAAATCTTTAAAGGGGCAAATAGTTTTTCCACAGAACTGTCAGTTCAACATTATATTAAACTGAATTAAAACCAGTTACTAGCTGTGCTAGAAGCTAAGCTAAATTTACCTGTTGTTGGTAAACATATGCCAGGACTCCAGCTGTGATTTCCAGCAGAAAGATACAGAGCAGCAACACCAAATACTACAGAACAGACATGAAAACAGATCACATGAAAAACAATTCAAACTCAGACATCTTTATTTTTATATTTGTTCAACAGATTTAGGGGCTAAATAGAATTTAAAGGAAAAGCTTGGATATGATTGAAGTTGAAAATAAAGTGGAAAGAATCAAAAGTAATAGTTCCGTTAACTGAATCAACAAGATGAAGAAAAGGTGTCGCTTTAAAAAGGCAGAGGTCCAAGGGGGAATAAAAATAGACATAACATGACAGAGTTTGTTCAGGTTTGCCTTTGAATTGTATTCCTTTCACTGCGACTGTCTGCCTCTCTCTCTCTCTCTATCATTCTGTGGTCCGAGAGGCCGCTTGTGATGCTCCTCATTCCTCTGGCATGAGCTGAGCTCTAAATCTAAACTCTTAAAGACACACTACATGACTTTATCTGTCATATCTGACAGACATGCCTCACATATCAGGCTACCCTGAATGGATGCAGACCAGACAGAAGGTCACCAAGGATTATTTTTCAACACACACTTCTCAGAGTCATGTTCTGTTGTAATGAAGAGCTTGTGCATGACCATCTGACTTCACATGCTTCACAAAAAGCTAACTGACTTAAGGTGTTGTATTTTTCCTGTGTTTTTGTGGGCTCTACAATCTTACCACAATCAATAGGGTCCTCTTTTCATTCAGAGTGGCGCAGCATCCGATTATTCCAGTGAAAGTCACAATGACTCCAGCGACTATCAGGATGGAAGCAGAGGCTGAGTAGAAGCTGGAGTTCAATAAACTGATGTAGTCGCTCTTATCCACCAGAGTCCACACTCCCACCGCCAACACGGCCCCTCCAGCCACCTGAGACACAACAAGCCACATGTCAACAATCATGCATATCTTAAGTAGATGTTACTTCACTTATGCAAACCACACAACATCTCATTTAATCGATGTAAACCCCTAAAGATTTTAGCTGAATTAGTTTTTTCTAAGATGCATTTAAATTAATGTGTTTAATCTAATTAAATTAGAATATGTGTTCAATGAGACTCATTTGTCAAATTAAAAGTCCCTTTGAAAATAACCGTTAAGCAGGCATTACACATTTTTTTTCTTATACTATGTGGTCATGTGGCAACAGCAATTTGCCTTCTGAACAATAACTGATTCTCAAACATGTCCCAGAACTTACAGACTGATCAAACAATAGCTGATCCAGAATATGCATTCATTTATTTATAATCAAGCTCCATAATTCTGATCAACACTTGATCACGTTCACAATTTTGTTGTTTAGCTCCCTGACCAATGATTGTCAGTTGTGACTTGTTGTTGTTTTAATGTTATTCAGCATTATTGCTGCCATATATTTTCATCTTAAACCAAGCTAAAGCTAAGCTAAGGTTATGTTTAGAAGTATGTTTTAGTATATATTTAGCCTGGCGTCCTGGTCATTTTGCTTTGTTGTGCACTGTGTATATTGCTGAAATGACAATGAATCTAACTCGAGAACTTTAGTACATTTGTAAAACCTAAATCAATACAGGCAAAGGGTTTGTAAACCTACTTATTCGTAAACTTACCCAGAAACAAATGTTGAAGAGAAAAAGTAGATACTTCAGGCAAATTGTTCCACATGTGTTCTTCTTTTCACGATGAGCTTCCATCCTGTAAAACAACATATGTTAAATGTCTGCAAGCATCATAAGCAATGTAATATTTTCCAAATACTAAAGATTCAGACAGCTGAGAAACCTAAGAGACTCTGAATTTAGGTCACACCTCAAATTTTACTGGAGATAAGATTATCTCCAGTAAACTTTCATGGCTTGAGGGTAAATAAAGCCTAATTACCACAAACTCTGTCTCTGATTAAAACAGCATTTCGCTGTGACCTAAATGGATACAGTAATTTCCTCTTTCAGTGGGCTTAACCTTCAAAATGAAGAAGTGATGTACTGAGACGAGTTAAATCTCAGCTGTAGGTTTAATGAACCTATCTGACGACATACAGGCAGTTTCCCTCCTTTGACTAAACCGTAGACTGACAAAAAAAGCTGGCACCAAATTTATTCAAGGGGACATGGAAAGAGCTCAGAGATGAAATCAAATATGTTGTGGGGAAAACATACTTAACGACTTGTGTCACATGTCAGCCAGCACAGTCGTATGCTCCCCATCTCAGTAACGCAAGCTGACCCCTTTACTCTACACCTGGTATGTTTAACATTTGACTTTAGGATAAAAAAGTTTATGTATTTAAAACTGAACTATCATAAGTGTAGAGCTTAAAAAATACAAAACCTTGGATTTTGCATAGATTTATTCTAAAGATAAGTAGATCAAAACAAAAAAAAAAAGAATATGTAGATATTTCAGTTAGCAGTAAATTTATCTCATCTTAGCTTAAAAAGTACACTACCTCGATGCTTGTCCTGAGTTATTTTTAACCCACTCTGTAATGGAAAAAGCTGCTCTCTCATTTTTTTGTTATTGAAAGGACAACAGTCCTACCTGAATTCAGAGGATGTGTCCCAGAGGGATGATGACTCTCAGGGTAACTGAGCAGATCCCACTCACCCCGCTGTGACTGCGACACTGTTGTTGAAGCAGAACTGCAACAGTGTAAGTTTTCAATTGACGCTCACAGCCTCCTACATGAGCGTCTGTCCTCCTCTTTTGGCCTCACACACACTTCACCGCCTTCACGGACAACACAGAAGGCTTGTCTGCCCCCATCTGGCTACATATTCACACAGGCTTTACAATACAGTAAAACTCAGAAAAAGGACACAAAAAATCATAAAAATATATATTTCATAACAAAGACTTGATAATACAAAGTATGACAATATTATAGAAGTTGGTCAAAAAATAGAAAAGAGCCTCTTGTTTAATGAAGTGACTTTGGGCGGTCCTTGTTGGCGTGAAACACTGAACTGAAATGTTTTTTTTTTATTAAAATTTTTGTAACAAAGCTTTCCAAAAGCATCAAATCTTTTTTTTACTGAGAGCGCAGCAACTTCTCTGAGCAGTGTCCTCTGTCAGTAAAAAAACGTCTTCACACTGCCGATCATCCTTGGTCATCAGCATCCTACAATAAGAAGAAAATGTATTTTTAAACAATTAACAGAAATAAAATAAACCACATCATTTATGCAGTTTTTGTTTTGAACCTCTAACTGTCATCTTGTGCGGGAGAAACCACAGCCTATTCAAAAGTAACATTTACACCAACAATGTACATGTAAGAAACGAGAATTTTAATGGAATAATTAAATAAAAATTGAAATAATTAAATTAATTGTTTTTTTTATATGCTAACAACATAAATCCGAAACAGTTTGGAAGGCTTATTACTGATCTAACAGCTTTGTTATATTTACTTTACACAAGATGGAGGAACTTGTCCTGGTTTTCTTCAGATATTAATTTATTCATACATATTTAAAGACAAACCCTGAAGCTGTGTTGCATTTTGTTAACAAATAAAAAGGCACTTAAACCTGCAACTTCAAAATGATCATGTGGTTTGGGGAACAACTCGAATGAAGCTGTCAAAAAACCTTAGTGCAACCAAGATTTGCTTGTGGTTTCATATTTGGGGGAATTATTTATTATTATTATTGTTATTATCATTTTTGTTTCTTAAAGAGGAACTATTATTTTTCCTTTAAAAGGTTAGTATATGACTATAGGCTATCCAGAACTTGTTTTTTATATTTTTACACAAAATCAATCTTAGATAATGAGATTTTAGTCTGCTCAATTCTGCTTCCAGAATGAGCTGTTTTAGGGCCTCTTTCTTTAAATCCAAATAAACCAGTAGACCAATCGTGTTGTAGCTTAGCTTGGGTTGCTAGGTAGAACTGCTGAGGTTGATAGGTGAGGGGCAGTGCCTTCTAATTAGTGACATGACCTTCCGAAGAATTTTGGAAGGTCATGTCATGTATTGCTAAAAAACAGCTGGGTGGTTCTGCTAAAAGTTTGGGTTGTTTTAAGAAGCTGTAGAAATCCAAAATAAAGAAAAGCAAAATGTGGAATATGTTAATCGTCCCCTGTAACAATCTCTCTCTCTAAAATATTTACACCACTAGAACCTTTTCACATTTTATTGCAATATAATCACAATGAAATGACAAATTTCAGTATGTTACAGGGGTTTTTGTTGTTGTTTTTTTAGATCATTAAAAAAATAATGGATAACTTTGAAGTCATTAAAACCAATAAGTTGAGGTTTCCTGTAAGTGGAAGAAAAGTATTTTGCAGTTTCATACTCAGCCAGGTGAACCATCAGCTCTTCCATGTTATACCCAGTCATGGCACTGCATTCATGAAACAAAGCCTGGTACTCCTGTTCAAACAAACAAAAAAAAAACTTGTATTTATTTAATATTTTAATATAGTTTGTTTAATCTAGCCAGCTACTTTATGTGAATCAGTGCAGAGAGCTCTTTGAATATTCAAATGCAGCTCACCTCTGCCAGCCTCTCCCCCTCCGGTCTCGTGATTTCTCTGTTGTTATTGTCTGCTAAGTCCAGCTTGTTTCCAAGCAGCATCAGCACAGTCCCTTCACACATCTTATCCTGGAGGGAAAATCCACCACACTGACTTAATTATGTTTGCTCAAGCATAAAAGAAACAAGAGGTTCCCCATACAAGTTGTTGAGGTAAACAAAATTATTATGCCACTGAGATTCTAAATGATCATTTTCCTCAATAACCTTTGTGCGTATTCAAATGACTGATTTGCATTTGCCAGAACATGTACGCCCTCTTACCCTGACAGAATCCATCCATCCTCTCACCGCACTGAAGGAGGCGCTCTGAGTTACGTCATACATGGCAAGGATGCCGTCTGCCTTTCGATAATATTGTTCAGTGATGCTGCGATACCTGGAAGCATGCAAACATTTAAATTATAGGTAGGTAGGTCACTTGAGCTAATAACTGATTGGTCAAAGATTCTGCAAATTAAAAGCACTCATCTGACCTCTCCTGGCCCGCAGTGTCCCACAGCTGCAACGTGATAGTGGTGGAGTTCAGGATTAAAGTCTTCATCTGGAAATCTACACCTAGAAATAACAAAACATCATCACACACAACACCCTCCAACAGTCCAGTTACATCCAAAGCATGTGATGCTTGATGTTAGCCTGATGTTTTTTTCTTTTTCTTTTATAAAATAATCAGAAAAATGTTGCATATTTATTTAACCCCCAACTGATCCCCATAATGCTGCAGTAGGGACAGGAGAGCTGAGTTTATTAAAAGATGGGAGGAGCCAGATGCAACACTATCCTGGACGATATAATATTAGAAGATGCAAAAGACTGTGGTGTATTTTTGCTTCCAGCAGGACTATGGCTTTGAACAAACAGGCAACCTTACAGTTCACTGGAATGCTTTAGATCAAAGTACAACTTTGTGTTAGGATGTCCAGTCAAAGTCCAGACTTTAATCCTCATGAGGTCTGAGGCTCTAATTAAAAATAGATGTTCTCAGATGTTCTCTACCCAATCTGACTAAGCATGAGGTGTTACCAGAAGAACATAAAGCAGAGATTTGAGTCTATGAAGCAGAGCTAGCAGAGAGCTGAACCAAAGTTCCTTGATGTAATTATGTTGAAAGATGATTCTGCAAAGTACTGACTTAGGAGGTTGAATACAAAAAAAATAAGATTTTTATTTAGAAAAATATAAAAAATTTTTCTTTCAAACAATTATGCATAACTTTGAGCCAATCTGTCTTCACTCAGACAAGCTGTAAGTTTAAACACAAAGTCAAACATGTTAATTCTCCTCCACATTCTCACTTATTAAATTCCAATAACATACTTTAAGAATTTGCACTGTAATGTGACAAAATGTTAAAAAATTCAGAGTGAGTGAGTGATTATCCTAATCCCTCCTCTCTGATGTCAAGCAGCAGACATGTGACAAAGTGTAAATACTAGGTGTGTATTTTTGTCAGGTAGACATGACAGAGTACCGTTCCATGTGACTGTTTACACAGCAGGGTATTTGTCCTTTCGAGGACAGACTGTTTAAAATTGTATTTAAGGATGACGCATTAATCAAACAGTGTTGCTTTAACCAAGTTTTTAATATTATTCAAGTAAAATCAACACTTCTGTTTTTAGTCACCAAACTCTAGATTTATGCAGAATAATAAGGCAATGAATTAAGTTTTTATCTGGTTATGTGGTTGAACATAAACACAGTTTTACCCAAAGCTCTTAAACCTCAACTGGTCAATGCAGAAAGAAATCTCCTGTGCAAGACTGGAGCTTAAGACTCAAAGTCTGCAATGAAGCATGAAACTTAAGGTTGACTCAGACTGAGTTGGCAGTGGATTATTAAGTTCAGCTGTCATTTTGGAAATGGTTTGACACACAGTCGAACCACTGACAAACTAACTGAAGTAATATATCCTTTTGTATATTCGTTTGTATGTCAATTTAAAACCTATGTACTAAAGTAATGCTCAGTAAAACTCTGGTGTTCTTATAATAGTTATATTGTTGTAAAATGTCTTAAAACCAACTACAAAGACTGGATGTTAAGGGAAGATGCACATTGTTACTTTGACATTTATACTGTTCAAAGTCTCAAGAATAGATGTTTTCCAAGTAAGCAAGAAGGGAATAAGAACTTTTGGACAATGGCATGCCGACTCCAGTCTGGAAATATAAGCTTATTTCCAGTCTTATGAAACAGGTCTGGAAAAGATCAGAATTAAGTTCCAGATCATAGCACAGCTACAGTCCCAGATTGACAAATTTTAAATGTCATTTCCATTAGTAGAACATGAAAAAAGCATGGTGACCAGTAATAACCAGATAGTGTAGTTCTCCAGAGATTTGAAAATGATGTTCAGCATTAAAAAATGCTCCAGGAAAATATATTTTATAGTAATTAATTCAGTGTGGCACTAACAATCTTAGTAAAAACTACACTGCCCTGTGATACCCATGCCTCTCACACATTTACGGGAATGCTAGTGTGCAATAGAGAATTGCTTACCTACAGTAGAACTCATTTTACTGCAGTAGTTTCCAGAGCAGTAATGCCGGATGAAGGAGGTCTTACCCACCCCCGAGTTACCCAGAAACACCACCTTAAACACTCGCTGTAGACCGACAAGTCTGCTCTAAAAGCAAAGTAAAAGGTACCAAACTTGACACTTTTCTTGATCTAGTGTTATATTTTTAAGAGGGAATATTTAAGATTCTCACCACCTGAGTTTGAATCTGTTCAACATTTTCATCTAGGACTTTAAATGACG